GTAGTTGTCAAAATTATGGTCCCTTCGGGGGTACCCTAAATAATAGGTGCCGTATTACAATAAGGACCCCAAAAGGGACCATAATCATGTCGCATGGATGGATGTGGGGGTTTCCGATTATTAGGGGTACCTTATTATGGGGTCCTAATAATTGGGGTCCTATTATTTAGGGTACTATATTTGGGTCCCTTATTTTCGGAAACCCCCACATTCAGGTACAGGAGACGTGTGCCGTCCTGCAGCGACGCGTTTCGGTACCGCCGGAGCCGTTTCACTCGCTGCGGCTGCTCATTGCTGCGCGCAGTATCGATTTCAGAATTGCCGGCTTTGCAATCTTCTTCGCGGATGAGGACATGCATGAGGCCTATCGGAGGCTGAAGTGGCTGCTCCAATGTTTGCAATCTGTCCAGGGCAGCCTCTCGGCACCGCTCACCCAGTGCGGGCTGATAAAGGGTTCATTGTTTCATGAGCAATCTTATTCCATAGAGTTCCATACTCTACTGTTCCGCAATATCCCCAAGAACCCTATTCCAGCTAACTCAAGTCCCCGTATTGAAAACCTATCAGAAACTCCTACAGAAGCATTTGAAACAACCTTTGCCGGAACCGGTTTCAACTTCTTCAGGGCCCCCTATCCCTGAGGCTCCATGTACCTGAACAGTACATATATATATATTTAGGCTTTAAAGGGGTTCCTATAAAAAGTACTTCAAGACTTCAAGACCTAAGAACCTATACGACATAGCTAAACCCTAAACCCCTAAAGCCCTAAAGTAAGGTTAGAAACCTCAAAGCTCCGAAACTGTGGAGTCGCGTAAGCGCCTCGACTGCATGGCGTCGAGGTCCTCGGAGTCGTAATCCTCCTCCTGAAAGTGCAGGTTTAGGGTTTAGGGTTTAAGGTTTATACGGTTTAGATCTAGGTCCAGTAGGGTTTAGGATTTAGGGGTTTTAGGGTTGGGGCTTATGATGTAGGTTCATAAGGCTTAGGTAGGGCTTCGGATTTAGTGTCTAGGGTTCCTTAAGCCATACAATAACGGGGGCAAACCACAGACCCAGACCTGTGGTTCCGTTTTCGGCGAATATGAAGGGGTAGCATTATATTAGTTACTCCGACCTCTACACCCAAACATGCTGTTACACGCTATTTGGTTCCTAAAGAAGTACCCTAGGGCTCCAGTTACCTAAATGGTGGGTTACTAGCCATATAGTATGCACCCCAGTAACCTACTATTTAGGTATCTGGAGCCCTAGGGGTAGACAGCTTAATAAAGAGCTTTTCCTCAGTGATTGACGCGTACCACGGACAACGTTCCTCGGACTGAAGTTCCCCGCTGTGCTCGTTCCATATCGCATCCTATCATTTACACAAGATCTGCTAGTTTAGGGTTTAGGGTTTAGGGCTCAATGAGAGCCAGATTCATTGAACCACTTTGTGGCATTGAAGACATTGAACTCCACCAGGACTTCAGGGAACGCATTTTGGCGGTCCTCCTTAATCCCGCTTGCATGAAAGGTCAAGCAGCAGTACTTGGGGGAAGCACGTTGGGTGTGGTCCTGAACCCCGCCTGTACCTGGCGGAAGACATCTGGCCATGCTCCATTCCCACCAATACTGAAGGATACATGTTTCGCGGTCGTTCCTGGTGCTCCGTGGCGCTGTCGTCCCGGTCATGGTGGTCGTCGTGTGGTTATCTTGGTCGTCGTCAGTGTCATGATCGACAAGGTGCTCTATCACTCTTTGGGATCTATGCTGGCATAGCATATGGTCTGACAAGGGTTCGCAGGGTTTTTGGAAATAATGTCTCATGTTCAATCATATAGGGTTTCCATCATGTAAGACTGCAATAGGGCTTGACGGTAAACTGAAACTGTTGCTTTACAAACCCCCGTTGCGCTAAAGGCATGAAATACCCCAAAGCTTCTGCCACAACACCCGATGGTACCACAGTCCGAGACTTCTGCGAGAGTCGCGTGGCCGCGGACATTGGCTTGGGTGGCCCTCAACCTCATGTACCTGCACCCTCGTACAACAATGTCATAGAGTCTGTTGGGGTTTAGGGGGGTTTACGGTCTTGGGCTTCGCGCTCAAAGTTTAGACTTTTAGTATTCGTGTGAGAGGGTCTAGAAGGTTTAGGACTTTTTCGGTGCATGGCTTGGGGTTTAGGGCTATTTCTTGGCGGCTCTAGGTCGACCCCCCCGAACCGCGAAAGCCTGACCCTGAGAGAGTCACGGTTTAGGGTTTAGGGGTTTAGGGGTTTCAAAGGTTTAGGGGTTTCAGAGGTTTAGGGTTTAGGGGTTTAGGGGTTTAGGATTTAGGGGTTTAGGGGTTTAGGGTTTAGGGGGCTAGGGTTTAGGGTTATAGAGGCTATACTATATAAAAGTCAAAATTCCATTCCACCACCCAGGATAGGCCTCCGATGTGGAAGGAAAGCCCTTACAGAACCCTTATAGACTCATAGAGCCCCTCTGGATCCCAAGAGATCCCCGTATGGAAGCCTCTGAAAAGATCCTAAACCCTAAACCCTAAACCCCTAACCCTAAACCGTCGATCCCCACATGGAAGCCTCGGAGAACCCTGAAAAGAACCCTTTAATATTGAAGACCCAGAGCCCCGGGAGGCCTCGGGTTCCAAGCCGTCTCCCTGGCCCTCGTTGCTGTTGTCGATTCCGGAGCCGGACATCTGAAAGGCGGACTCGCCCTTCCTGGGGGTGGGTAGGGGGGGGTTCTTTTTTTGGGTGTTTTTTTTGTCTGGCCAGCTTCTTGGTGTTGCTTTTGTTATTGGCGCCCTTGTCTGGAACTTTCCCCTGACAAAGGGCTTAGGAAGACAACTTAGGTTGGGGCATCAACAGTTGGAAGAGGGCTTTCCGGCTATTACCATTGAAATTCTCATGTGCCACTGGACCCTACACCTACAGCGCCCTTAACCCCCTCAAATTCAAGCCCTATATACCCTAAACTCTTAGCCGGAAGACCGAAGTTCTCATGTGCCACTGGGCAGCAGGAAGGAATTGCTCTTGTGACCGCTGGGCGGCGAGCTGAGAGGCGTCTTCAGGAAACCTCGAGGTTTTTTAGGGGTTCTGGGATTTCGGATTTCCCCAAGTTCCTTTGAGGGTCGAAAGGACCAAATACTTGGGGTCCTTGGGCTGAGAGTAGCGGTGTTGAAAGTGAATATTGGGGAGAGTATATGGGTAGTTCTCTATATTAAGGGTCCCCTTTTTAGGTCCCCAATATATACTACGGCACCCTCATTAAAAAGGACCCTACAGAAGGGACCCTAATTTAGAAAGCTACTCATATGACTGTTAGGCGCTTGGACCCTTCGGCTTGGGGTACAACGGAATTTGAACGACTTCGGAGCTGCGGCTTCGGGCTCAAAGGGGGCCTTAGAAGGCCCAAGAGTGGGCTAAAGATTGGGGGGTTTTAGGGTTCAAGGGTTCAGGTATTTAGGGTTTAGGGTTCTGTCGCTAAATAGACAGTGTGGGTAGTCTTGGAATGGGTGCTGGTGGTCGATACGTAGGAGTTTCAGAAAAGGTGGATCCCAGTGTAGAAGCCTACGTAATGGGATCCCTGATTACAAAACAAGCCGCAAGGTACCCGCAATATAGGGCCTCAATGACTACAACACGGTTTCGGGTGGTACTTTAGTTTTCTGAAGGAGCCCAAGGGGAAGATTATTGCTAGCTATTGTTACTTCTATGTTACTTCCCTTGAAGGCTTCCAACCTGCGACTCTTCAGGCCCCAAAGCCTGTCATTCCACACATGCCCTGATGCACAACAATGCAGGGTCTAGGGTTTAGTTTAGGGTTTGGGGTTTCGGGTTTAGGGGTCATCAAATATTGGACCGTACCTCTACAACTTGTGCACGTGCTTGTCTCGATTGTTTACACAGAGAAACCACCTACCGACGTACCGACCTGCCGACCTACCTTAGGCTTCGGGCAGGGTTTTGGCGTCATTCTGAAAGTTTCTCAGTACAACCGCTGCATTCGAAGCACTGACGGCATGCTATTACTGGTGCGAACCCCGGAACCAAAATGGGAATAGGGCTTATAGGGTTCAGGGGTAGTAGTGCTCAAGACTTAGTATTTCCAATGCGGCAGGACCAAAAAAAGGGGAGTTCTGGTGAAGCTTAACTGCAGTCCTGGAAACCCTAAGCCCGAAACCCTAAATCACACCTGAGAGGCCCCATAGACTCTGACCCTCCAGCCCCCTTACCCAAACACCCTAAACCCTAAACCCTAAACCCTAAACCAAAACCCTAAACCCTAAACCCTATCAACCCTAAACCGGCTCAAACCCTAAACCGGAGCTCTTTGCACCCAATGGGCTCGAGGAGTTTAGGTGGTGCGGCCCGGGGGATCGCAGCCGGTCCTTTCTCGCTTCGCTTTTCGGCTTCGGGCTCGGGGTCTATTACATAATTAATGCATAGATATATCAATATACACCCTAAATCCTAAACCCTAAATCCCTTTAAATAAATACATATATATATACATATATATACACGCTATGCAAGGGTTTAGGGGGCAATGATGGTCCCAAGCTGGTTCGGGGGCTGGGCTGGTTTAGGTCCTCCCGGGTTGGAAGGAAGTTTGGGGGGTATCTCATGAAGGCCACCGCCAGTTTAGGTTTTGAGGGTTTGGGGTTTGGTGTTTAGGGTTTAGGGTTTGAGGGTTTGGGACGGATGAAAGCGGAATGGGCGTCCCTCAACTCTAAATCCTTAAGAGCACTGCACGGTAACAGCTGTCTGCCTTGCTGGCCACCAGCAACCCCTCCTGTTTTTCACTGGTTCCACGGTAGCTTTCTGAGGCTCGGCGTGTTGAGTTGTCAACCCAACTGACCCCAAACCTCCCGACTTCGAGGAGTAATTAGCACACCCCACTCGACGAAAAAATGTCTAAGCCTCAGATGAAGGCGGGGTTCGAGCCCCGCTGCTTAGACCAGATTGTGTCCCATGTCTCTCGGCATGTAAATCAAGTTTAAGCAAGCAAGTAAGTAGGTAGGTGGGCGGGTCGCTGAGCAAGAGAGCAGGCAGGAAGGTAGGTAGATGGATAGGTAAGGATTAAGTCTAGCTTAAGGGTTTGCGTGTTGGGGACCCGCAGATGGGCTTGGCTTAAACTGGGCAGTCTTCGGAGTTTGGTACCTCAGTGCCTTCATTGTCTTCGTGTCGTGCAGGTGCTGGTGGCTTTAGTTCAAAGTGCCAAATGTTTCGGATGACCTTGGTGATTCTGGATTTGGCGGATGACTGGTTGAGGGGTACAGCGGCAAACAAGCATGCAAACACAAATGCACGTACATCGTGCATGGGCAATGCGGCAATCATGTCGAGTCATTAGTAGCTAATCTGTTTATTTCATACTACTTGGCCAGACATACACATGCCAGTGCATTGAGCCGGTGCGGCTCTTGGTCAAGACGCAGGATCAGCAGCTTTGACTCTGCGAAGCGGCACAATGCTTTTCGAATCGCTGGATCTCAACAGGCACATGATCGCTGGAAGCCCAGTTCGCCAGATAATGGGTCGGAGCTGTATTATGTGACAGTAGTTCACCTACTAAATATAGAATCACAGTATAAGTAGGTACAGTTACTGGGCTACTACCAGCGGATCAGAGATGACCCTGCAACTCCCTACTCGTACAGCTCATCTGGCAGTTCACCGCACCAGCCGTTTGTCAGAAACATTGCCAGTATTGCTAAAACCAGGAGAGCAATGTTCGTTGCGAAGCAAGGCATGTTACCTTCGACGATGCAGCGGCCGAAAACACCGCAATGGTGGTCGAACTCCACAAAACATCGTTGGCAGATTCTGCAATGGTGACTCAAATGAGAGTCCACATCTCGCGGGCGCCACACAAGGCAGCGAACGCAATAGCTCCCAAGCATAGGGTTGTGTTCCGGCCCAGAGATGTTCCGGTTTTGTGCTGGCCTTTGCCCAGCCAGGAGGCCCTTCGCTACCTGCGCAGGAATCGGGTAACAGGTCGTTTTGGAGCGGCAAATCTCACCTTGTCTCCCGAAGATGATGAAGGAGGTGCAGAAGAGGGCCAAGAGGGCGAGGCAGGTCATGACGGAGTCTACCGCAGTACACCACGTGGGATTCGACCAATGCGCCGGATCGCCACGCACGTTGCGTGCTGACACGACGAAGGTGATGCAGAAGCCCAAGACAACGCATGCGCCAGCAAAAGCCTGCGTCCAGAACTTCGGATTGCGATCTGGCAGCGGCGGCAGCCTGGAGAGAGGCAAGAGTGCCTCCCAGGCATCAAGGTCCTCGACACCCGGAAGCCTGGATCTTCTGAAACAGCCATGTTTTTGTTAAGGAAATTGTCGTGAGGACTCCAGAATTACCCACTATTTATCATTTATCCCGGTTCTGGTAAGTGTTAGCTTGACTTCCTCACCTGAAATGCCTGAAAAAAATCCTGAACAAGAGCCCGGGGGCACGTCGGAGAAGCCGAACATGTCGAGATCGGATTCGCCTTCGAGATCGGAGTCATCCGAAAACCTGAGAGCAAGCTTGGGGTCCTTAGTCCTTGCTTTGCCCTAAACCCTAAACTCCTTGCATCAAGCTAGGGATTCCATGACTTCTAAGGCTCGTTGCTTAAGGATCCAACCTATAGTCTCCCATTTTGGGTTCCTTTTTGGAGGCTTCCCTTCCAGGACTTTAAATTTAAATGTCTAAATGTGACATTGGTTATAGCCACAAAAAGGAACTGCAATATGGAGACTGCAGGTACGTACCCAGAGAGCCCTATACCCCTTAATCTGGCCGAAGTGGTCAGAGGTTCCGACACAGGGATTCCCTGTTTCCCCACCTCTTAATCCCCTCGCCAGTGACCCACCCCCCCTTATCGCAGTCCGCCCCCCTCCTCCCTTAAAACTGGGTATTTAGGGTTGGCAACCCCTAAGTCCAGAGAGTCTGCTGGCGGAGAGTGGGCTTGCCGGGAGCACCCCACACAGTTCGGATATTTGTCTGTCTGATTTTGCGCCGACCCCCTTTTTCCCCTTCCCTCGTCTCTTCCTTGCGGCGGGCGAAGCAAGACAGGCTAGCTTACATCACTCGTGAAGTTGATGCCAAAGCCTGGGAATTCTGGGGCTGTGTCTTGTACTGTGTTGCAAAGCTTGATTCCCCATTCCCCTTCCAACATATGGGAGGTTGTAGTGAGAAGCGTAATACGATTTTTAGAGTCATGCCTATAGGATAATGCAGGGAATGTGCCGCGTGTCGCGTGGGAGTATGCTCAGAGCCTCAGCATGAAAACAAATACTGACATTTAAAACACATTCTGAAGCAAATGCACTCCTTCACGCAAGACCTCACCTGTGTGATCTACCTGCTGCTTTCCGAAACAACGCACCTTCAAGTATCGCCGGGCCGAGGCGGACGACGCGAAGCGTTTAAAATCAAGGACATATACCTTAAGCTATAAGGGGCTTCATATTATGAGCTACATTCCTGCATTAAGGGGGATTGGGCTCCCTCGGAAACTCGCACCTGCTGCTGCCCAGCAGAGGATCTTGGCTCTCAGTGGAGGGAGATGCATCCATGGCTTACCCCAGGGCTCCGGTCGGATGCTAACCTTGACTCTAAACCCTTAGCCCTAAATCGGGCCTAAATTCAATACCCTAAGCCCTAAACCCTATAAACCCTAGATCCTAAACTCGTCTTCTGTGACCCAGTAACCCATTCTTTGGGTAACTGGAGCCCCAGGGCTAAGGGTGTGAAAAGACTGCAGCTTGCAAGCTGCGAGTTGATGCTCGATATCGTCACAATCATTGGTGCTCCTGCTTCTGCTGAGGGCGAGGACGGTGACGATGATAGGGTTTAGGGTTTAGGGTTTAGGGTGCTGAGTATCACTTCATCATGATTCCATTCTCTCGGATATCGCCAAACAAGCTCTTTCATTTCTGGTTCAGCGCCGGCGCTGCGAAACGAGATATCCACGAAGCTAGACGGGACAATAAGCCGGAATCCAATAGCGAACCCGAGCCCCCCCATACATTCCGAACTGTCGCGGCCAATGAGAGCTTCCTGGACGCGGTCCTATCGCTCGATCTGGGGCAGCGGTTATTGGATTTGGAACTTCCTCCAACACCGGGATCCCGACATGTTCGCAACGCAATGGGATCCTTATTGCAAGCGCTATACAAGGGACCCCCCCCCGGAAAACTTTTGCGGAAACCACCCTTTGAAGCTCAGGCTCGAAAGACTCTACTCCGACGCGTTCCTGGAACCTTGGGTCCCAAGCTTATAGGGTTTACAAAGGCTTCCCCAAGCACAAAAAAAGCCCTAAGCTTTTTCTGGCCGCCCGGAAGACCCTCGTCGAAACTCCTAGTCGAAGCCCTAAGTTCCCCAAGCACCCTGGAGCCTAAACCCGAGACCCGAAACATGGATCCTCGTTCTTCTCCTCGCGGCCTCTTCGCGTGAGGTCCTTAATCCTCGGCTTCAGGGGTGGCGACTTCCATGCCATCATCTGCAAGGGTTCTTTCTTGCTTCCTACAAGGGCTCCTTTTACGGGCTTCTTTGCATCTGTTCTGAGGGTATCATGATGAAACTTTACCTGATTGAAACTCTAAGAACCCTAGACACACCCCAAACACTATGAAACCTAAATGCGAACCCTCAACTCCAAATAAGACACATTGCAGGCAAAGGAGCATGTGATCAATACGATCCGTCAAGCTGCGGACCATCAGCGTCGACGAACCTGCACTGAGGCTGGGAAACGGAAACAATGCAGCCATCCAGCTGCTTCAAGCACTGAAGACATACCCGGACCCTAAAGAACCTACCTTTTTAGGGTTCCTGATTATGATTTCTTTGTATGAGTCCTTCAAACGGTAGGTTCTTCAGGGTCCAGATAGGGTTCAGGGTGCAGCCTTTATGGGTTCCTTTACGGGCTCCTGCCTCCGAGAGCCTTTCGGACCCCGAAGTTCATCCCCTGAGAGCCTGCAGATCGCAATCCCACTCCTCCCCAAAAATACAGGGAGCCCATAAAGTAGCCCTTAAAGGAGCCCTTAAAGGGACCCGTAACCGGAGAAAGTAAAGGACATGTCTTACACCCTAAAACCTAAACCTCCATAAAAGCCCTGAGAGGAACATGAAGTACGTTGCATCCGTGAAAGCTTCAGCTTCCCGAAACATCAAAACCCTAAACTGGGGTTTAGGGCCAGTTTAGGGTTTAGGGTTAGGGCTTCATGACTTGTCCCAGAATATCAATACCCGGTTTAGGGTTTAGGGCTTCATGACTTGTCCCAGAATCCCTAACCCTCAACCCCGCCATGCCCCGGCTCCGGCACTTCCCCCACCCTAAACCTCTGAACCCTGAGCCCTACGTTCTGCAAACACAAACCCTTCAAGACCACAACCTTGAAAAACCCCTGACCCCACACCTAAACCCTGAAAACCCTGAACCCTGCGCCCCTAAACCCCTAAACCCTAAGCCCCTAAACCCCAAGCCCCTAAACCCCTATAACCCCTAAACCCCTAACCCCTGAGCCCCTATAGCCCCTAAACCCGAAGCCCTGAGCCAAGGTGGGTTGCAACTCCTGCATCCTCAGCCAGCTCTACCTCCGCGACAAGGAAGCGAAGGAGCAGTTCCAGAAGCTTCACGCCACTTCCCTAAAGCCGAAAGACCCCAAAACCTAAATCCTAATCCCAAGAATTCGGCTTCAGCTCGTGGATCTCCGTGTGTGTGTGTGTGCGATTGTGTGATTGTGTGATTGTGGTCGTGTCGGCGTCAAACCCGTGCACGCACAAGCAATGTCACACAAACACAAGCATCCGCAATTCTATGTAAGCTTCTTCGTTCGCTAAGGTCTGAAATCCGGGCACGTTTGTTTATACAGGTTATGTATTTGTTTTTTCGTGTATATATGTATATATAGATATATTGATTGTGTATTCATTTATTCCTGCCAACACTCATTGCACTTGCCGGGGTTCATTGTTGTTTGCAGCCGGCCCCCACTCGGTCAGAGAAGGACGGCTCCTCCGTCAATTTCTCTATGTGTATAATTTGCCTGCCTAAGTCTTTGGCTCGGTGCTCTAGCTTCCTTGTTGATGCTCCTGCCCACAAACAACACCATATGGCACTGTGGCCAGGGGTGTATGTGCCCCGGGCAGCCTGACAGTCTCACGCGCCGAACCGAAAGGTTTGTACTTGGAGGTCTTTCCGTGGGAAGCATGATGAACTGTTGTGTCTGTGTGCAACCAAGGTGAAAGACGTAAACGGCGTGGTTTGGTTCGAGCTCCAGCGCAAAAAGGCACACCTCTTTTACATGCGCATGGACTTCACAGATGTGCCTTGGAAGCTTACGAGTTCGAAGAGGTGCTGCACATCAGCTTTGATGGCTAATCGATCGGTTGGCCAGAGCTTGATTGAGGGTGTTTTGTTCGGTCTGCGATGCTGTTCAACTTAAGCTGACTTGGTTAGGAGTACCTGCGGTTGTGGTGGTGGTTGTGGTTGTGGTTGTTGTTGTTGTTGTTCTTGTTCTTGTTCTTGTTATTGTTCTTGTTCTTGTTGTTGTTCTTGTTCTTGTTCTTGTTGTTGTTCTTGTTGTTGTTGTTGTTCTTGTTCTTGTTCTTGTTCTTGTTCTTGTTCTTGTTCTTGTTCTTGTTCTTGTTCTTGTTCTTGTTCTT